TTATAAAAGCGTTGTATATTAAAAAGTTTTTTTTATATTATTTATTTTATACTTTTTAGTCCTGTCTGAATAAAATTTTGCAATAGATATTAAAATAATTCAACGATATTAATAGAAAGGTGCACACACATGCATTTACATATGTATGTACATACAAACGAGCACCAATTAATTTTATTTAAAGAAATGGCGTGTCGTCTATTTCCGCTAAAGCAAACGTAGTACATAGGGCGACATCTAGATGTCATCTACCTCGCCCTATTCACTACAGATGTCGCCCTATGCACTATGCTTTTTTATAGGAACTTTTCAAAGCAAAGCTTTATGGTGTCGGACACACAACATTGAAAGTTTCTGGATCCACAACATTGAAAGTTTCTGGACACACAACATTGCAAGTTGATAAAAGCGTTGTAAAAATACACTAAAAAACTGCTGTTGCTGTGCTAGGAAAGCATTTTTTTTAACTTTTGACGCTTAGCTTTACTGCGCCAATATCAAGAGTAAACCTCCAGGATAGCTGAAAAGTGTTTTTCTGTTCTGTTGATTTGACTGCTCACTTTCAAACAGTTCTGTCACAGCATGGTCTCAAATATTCGTCAAACTATCTGGCGCATTTTATTTCAACCAAACCACGCATTATGGCCGAATGGGATAAAAAAACACATCTAAAATGCTACAAATCTTGAACTCCCTTAATATATAGCATTGACACATTAAATTAAACTTTTGGAAAATAAAATTAATCTTTTGGCTAATAAATTTAATCTTTTGGCAAATAAATTTAATCTCTTGACAAATAAAATTAATCTTTTGGCAAATAAATTTAATCTTTTGGCAAATAAGTTTAACCCTTTGGCAAATAAAATTAATCTTTTGGCAAATATATTTAATCTTTTGGCAAATAAAATTAAACTCTACTATAGTACTAAACAGTGTTTGAAAAAGTAAAAAATACACTAAAAAAACTGCTGTTGCTGTGCTAGGAAAGCATTTTCTTTAACTTTTGACTTAGCTTTACTGCACCAATATCAAGAGTTAACCTCCAGGATAGCTGAAAAGTGTTTTTTGGTTTTTCTTTGTTTTGTTGATTTGACTGCTCACTTTCAAACAGTTCTGTCACAGCATGGTCTCAAATATTCGTCAAACTATCTGGCGCATTTTATTTCAACCAAACCATGCATTATGGCCAAATGGGATAAAAAAAACATCTAAAATGCTACAAATCTTGAACTCCCTTAATATATTTCCAAACGCAGGTACAAACAAAATTTATTTACGTGCATACTATGTACATTAAGGTCCCCATCGAAAATGTTTTTTTTTTTGGAAATTTCAAGACCTTGCCCCCTAATTTTATTCGTTTTTATGAGAAATGTTATAGCATATTTTTATAGATATTTTAAATGTCATTTAGAGGTCGCGACCTGTTGATTTAGGTTAGGTTAGGTTTAGGTTCAAGAATTTTTAGGAAAATGAGGGTGGCACCGCCCACTTATATGATATATGCGTATCACAAAAACTACTTGATCGATCTCAACCAAATGTGGTATACACATTGCGCTTAAGCTTCTTAAGCGCCACATTGAAGCTTTTTGAAATCAGACAAAAACCACGGGTTTCACCAACGTAACGGTAATTTCAAAACACACTAAGCTAGCTATATTTTAGGGGGATTAGGTTTTGTCGGATTTCAAAAATATTCAAGACACTTACGGAGGCTAAGCACAATGTGTATACCACATTTGGTTGAGATCGATTGAGTAGTTTTTGTGATACGCATATATCATAAAAGTGAGCGGTGCCACCCTCATTATCCTAAAAAATCTTGAAAAACCACTTCTTTGCTAAAGAACGATTGTATATGTATATCAATTTTGAATAAATATTGATGAATTCCTTAACGCCACTGCTCAAAAAATCTGAAAGTCCCGTACATAAACACTATAAATTCAAGGCCGTATTTAAGAAGTCTCCTAAATTCGACAATTTTAATGAGATTGCCATTAATGAGGTATCAGTTTATTTGAAAATAGATTTAATTTTAGACAGTACTACATATTTTAAAATTGTGGAAATTATCAGTGGTCAAAATTTAAAAAATTAACAGAAATATGGGTTTTTTTTATTTTACCCCATAAAAAATCCCAACAAGCCAAGTCCGAAAATAGATAATTAAATACCATTTTAAAGGCCTTCTCAGATGACATTCGATCTTTGAAATCGAGTCAAAAATAGTCATTCAAAAACTCATAAATCTACAAAACCGTATTTTTTAACCTAAATCGACAGGTCGCGACCTCTAAATGACCTTTAAAATATCTATAAAAATAGGCTATACTATTTCTCATAAAAACGAATAAAGTTAGGGGGCAGGGTCTTGAAATTTCCAAAAAAAAAACATTTTCGATGGGGACCTTAATGTACATAGTATGCACATAAATAATTTTTTTTTGTACCTGCGCACTATGGTTTAAATGCCCATGTTCTGCGGCCAAAAGTCAATTTTTTTAGTTTCGAATTTTTGTGAAATTATATTTTCTCTGAATAGTGAATACACCCTGTATTGCGAATACCTACTTTTTTTTGCTCTCTGGCAACTCTAGTACAAGAGGTAACCAGCTGAAGTTAACCGTTATTTGAACGTCAATTTTGCGATTTTTATTGTGCGAAAATCAGTGAAGCTTAAAATTGTGCGAAAGGAAAAGTTTTAAAGATAAATCTGTTTTTTAAAATGGAAAATAATCGTGAAGGTGTGTATAACAATGTGTATAAGTGCAAAAACAATACAAGCAATATATATTTAAAATTTCGCAGTAGTTATGTGCTAGTTAAAATTATGTGGGTTTAAAAATGTTGCTCGGGTTTGGTAAAGTAGAAGTTGTGGGGTCCGACTGGGTCCGATATGAAAATTATTGGAGAGAAAAGTGTGTTGTTTTTCCTTTAATTTTGTGTATATATCTTTTGCATGAGTTTGCCCATAGCTAAGTTATCAAACATTTTCAGAGCATATCAAGATCAAAAACGGAGAAATGTTTAATGTGTGGGTGGAAAATAATAAGCAATAATATGCGAAAATTCAATAGTCGACCTAATGAAGAGAAGGTGAAAGAAATAAATTTAAAAATTAAGAGTTTCTGCTCACACGCAGCCCAAAAATGGAAGAAAAATAATCGAAGTTTAGAAAATATGATGAAGTACGACAGTCGCTGGCTAGGAATGGATAATGTATTTGCATTGTCCAATGTTTCACATAAAGGTCGACCTACAGTGAGTTATTCTGAAACTTCTCTGAAGTATGGTATAAGTCCCTTGCATGCATGGATTAGGTGCTTGGAATTTATTTTACATCTTTCCTACCGTATGGACTTAAAAAAATGGCAGATAAGAAGTCAAGAGGATAAAGAAGTGTTAAAGCAAAAGAAATCTGAAATACAAGAAAAGTTCTGGAAACACATGGGCTTACGCGTCGATAAGCCGAAAGCGAACGGTAGCGGAAACACTAACGATGGCAACTCAGCTCGTCGAGCTATCTCTGATCCAGAAATGCTTGCAAAGATTACTTCTATCGACAAAACGTTTTTGAAAAATTTAAAAACTATTTTAATTTGTATATCTTGTGAATTCCAAATTGATGTGGAACTTTTTTTTTGCTTTTGTAAGAGAACATTCGATATATATATGGAAAAATACGACTGGTATGCTATGTCAGCCACGTTACATAAAATTTTGGTTCACTCCGCTCAAATTATGCAATCATCTAGTGTACCACTAGGCTGTCTAGGGGAAAATGCTTCAGAAAGCCGTAACAAATGCTATAAAAGAGATCGCGTGTCGCATGCCAGAAAAAATAGCAGGGAGAATAATATGAAAGATGTCTTTGATAGAGCTATGGATTCATCTGATCCCCTTTTATCTAGTATGCACTTGTCAAAGAGGATTTATTCAAAAAAAAAACAAACATTTCCACCGGAAGTAGTTGCACTTTTGAAATCTCCTCCTAATGAGTTTGACGATGATAAGCCTACAACATCACGACAGGCATTAGAAGAATTCGATGAAATATGTTCCGACGATAATGAAGATATGGACGACAGTACTTGCTTCTCGATTGAACTAGAGGAAGAATCGTGGGATTAGATAAAGGTGAGACTCTACCTGACACACAAAAAACAACAATTTGCTATGCTTTTAGTAGGTACTCACTCAAAAATGGAACAACAAAAATAAACTAGACTAATACTTTTAAATATAATATCAATCTTTTTGAATAAATTCTTTTTGAATGGCCTTAAGTGGTTCATTTTATTTAAAATACAACTAAATTAGCGATATCTCGAAAAAAAACCGGATTCATGGAATGATTTTAAGTAGAAATATGTAGGTCAAAAAAGTTCTTAAATAATATACATACCTACTCGTAAGTATGATTTAAAAAAAGGCGTGGCAGTGGTTAAATCCCGCCCATTTTTTTGTCAGAGTTTTAGGGGGGTGCCAGATTAATGTGTGCAAATTTTCAAGCTTCTATCTCCTTTGGTTGATTTTTGGCCGCAGAACATGGTCATTTAAACCATAGTGCTGCGTTTCGAAACATATTAAGGGAGTTCAAGATTTGTAGCATTTTAGATGTTTTTTTATCCCATTTGGCCATAATGCGTGGTTTGGTTGAAATAAAATGCGCCAGATAGTTTGACGAATATTTGAGACCATGCTGTGACAGAACTGTTTGAAAGTGAGCAGTCAAATCAACAAAACAAAGAAAAACCAAAAAACACTTTTCAGCTATCCTAGAGGTTAATTCTTGATATGGCTTAATCGATTTCTTTTTTCATCCTGATCATTTATGTATGCATTTGTCTATATCTATCTCCATTCGTTTTGGCTGTTACAAACAACCGTTATGTGAACAAAATTAATATACCCTTGTGCACAAGTGCGCTCGAGTTATCGTGTACACGGACGGACGGACAGACGGACAGACAGACATGGCTTAATCGATTTCTTTTTTCATCCTGATCATTTATGTATACATTTGTCTATATCTATCTCGATTCGTTTTGGCTGTTACAAACAACCGTTATGTGAACAAAATTAATATACCCTTGTGCACAAGTGCGCTCGGGTATAATGATCAGGATGAAAAAAGAAATCGATTAAGCCATGTCTGTCTGTCCGTCCGTCTGTCCGTCTGTCCGTCTGTCCGTCCGTCCGTGTACACGATAACTCGAGCACAAATTGAGATATCTCAACGAAATTTGGTATGAAGGTTTCCCTTAATCCAAGGTAGGTTGGCATTGAAAATGGGCGAAATCGGACATTAACCACGCCCACTTCCTATATAACGGTAATTTCCAGAAATACGAAAACTGCGATATTTTAGTAACTACTGATGATAATTCACTCAAAATTGATATTTACAATAATTTTTAGACGAGAAACAAGAATATTATAAATTTTTGGAAAATGGGCGTAGCTACGCCCACTTATGGTTACATGTGTATATCTTGGTAACCGCTGCACCAATTTCTTCCAAACTTTGCACAGTTGTTGGCCTTGGTACAGCATACAAAATCGTCGAAAATTTTTAAAATCGGACGATAACCACGCCCACATCCCATATAACGGTAATTTAGAGAAATCAAAATCTTCGAGAAATCAGTAAATATTGAAGCTAATTTATTCAAAATTGATGCTTGCAACAATTCTTTAGCAAGAAATACGCTTATGTTAAATTTTTGGAAAATGGGCGTGGCACCGCCCACTTATGATCACATATATGTATATCGGTAACCGTTCTAGCAGTTTGTACCAAACTCGGTGTGGTTATTGGGCTTGCCACATATAAGCAAAACGTTGAAAATTATTGGTATCGGACTAAAATTACGGCCGCTTTTCATATAACGGTAAATTTCAGAAATGCTTGAAACTTCAATATTTCGAAATTGAAGGACGCTAATTTACTCAAAATTGATACACCCCGGCTTACCATCTAGCGGTAGCTTTCGGAAAGGTGAAGAAACATATATTTAATACTTGCGCCGGGTATTTAATGTTCGGCTCCGCCCGAACTTAGACTTTCTTACTTGTTTGTGTATACATTTGTCTATATCTATCTCGATTCGTTATACCCTTGTGCACAAGTGCGCTCGGGTATAAAAATTATGTATGTGCATACGAACATATGTACATTAGGGTGCTCATCGAAAATGTTTTTTTTTTTGGAAATTTCAAGACCCTACCCTTTAATTTTATTCGTTTTTATGAGAAATATTATTGCCTATTTTAATAGATATTTTAAAGGTCATTTAGGAGTCGCTACCTGTCGATTTAGGTTAAAAAATATGGTTTTGTAGATTTATGAGTTTTTGAATGAATATTTTTGACTCGATTTCAAAGATCGAATGTCATCTGAGAAGAGGATATATAGCCCTTTGAAATGGTATTTAATAATCTATTTTCGGACTTGGCTTGTTGGGATTTTTTATGGGGTAAAATAAAAAAAAACCCATATTTCAAAATATGTAGTACTGTCTAAAATTAAATCTATTTTCAAATAAATTGATACTCATTAATTGCAATCGCAATCCGACTAAACCGCATCCCCCTAAAATATAGCTAGCTTTGTGTTTTTTGAAACTACCGTTACGTTGGTGGAGCCCGTGGTTTTTGTCCTATTTAAAAAAATTTCAACGTAGCGCTTAAGAAGCTTAAGAGCAATGTGTATACCACATTTGGTTGAGATCGATCAAGTAGTTTTTGAGATACGCATATGTCATACAAGTGGGCGGTGCCACCCCATTTTCCTAAAAATTCCTGAAAAACCACTTCTTTGCTAAAGAACGATTGTATATGTATATCAATTTTGGATAAATATTGATGAATTCCTTAGCCACACTGCTCAAAAAATCTGCAAGTCCAGCACATAAACAATATAAATTCAAGGCCGTATTTAAGAAAAGTCTCCTAAATTTTAATGCGATTGCAATTAATGAGGTATCAGTTTATTTGAAAATAGATTTAATTTTAGACAGTACTACATATTTTGAAATTGTGGAAATTATCAATGGTCAAATTTTAAAAAAATTAAGAGAAATATGGGTTTTTTTTTATTTTACCCCAGAAAAAATCCCAACAAGCCAAGTCCGAAAATAGATTATTAAATACCATTTCAAAGGCCTATATATCCTCTTCTCAGATGACATTCGATCTTTGAAATCGAGTCAAAAATAGTCATTCACAAACTCATAAATCTACAAAACCATATTTTTTAACCTAAATCGACAGGTAGCAACTCCTAAATGACCTTTAAAATATCTATAAAAATAGGCAATAATATTTCTCATAAAAACGAATAAAATTAGAGGGTAGGGTCTTGAATTTTCCAAAAAAAAAAAAACATTTTCGATGAGCACCCTAATGTACATATGTGCGTATGCACATAAATAATTTTTTTTTTGTACCTTCGTTTGAAAATATATTAAGGGAGTTCAAGATTTGTAGCATTTTAGATGGTTTTTTATCCCATTTGGCCATAATGCGTGGTTTGGTTGAAATAAAATGCGCCAGATAGTATGACGAATATTTGAGACCATGCTGTGACAGAACTGTTTGAAAGTGAGCAGTCAAATCAACAGAACAGAAAAACACTTTTCAGCTATCCTGGAGGTTTACTCTTGATATTGGCGCAGTAAAGCTAAGCGGCAAAAGTTAAAAAAAAATGCTTTCCTAGCACAGCAACAGCAGTTTTTTAGTGTATTTTTTACTTTTTCAAACACTGTTTAAAACTATAGTAGAGTTTAATTTTATTTGCCAAAAGATTAAATTTATTTGCCAAAAGATTAATTTTATTTGCCAAGAGATTAATTTTATTTGTCAAAAGATTAAATTTATGTGCCAAAAGACTAAATTTATTTGCCAAAAGATTAATTTTATTTGCCAAAAGTTTAACTTAGTATGCCAATGCTATAACAGCGGTATGGAGTGATAGATTATTAATTTTTGGTGTGGGTGTTGGGCTTGTGCAACCGAGGGGAAGTGGGGAATGGCATGATGACGATACGGAGAGGACAGTGACGGACTGATCGACATACCGACACTTGTCAGGCAAAGGGGGCGCTGCTAAAAAGAAGGAGTCGCAGCAGCGGCCATGGTTTCGTGGAGTACA